GTCACTGTCAACCCCTACAAGTGGCTGCCGGTGTACAACCCGGAGGTGGTGTTGGCCTACCGAGGCAAGAAGCGCCAGGAGGCTCCTCCACACATCTTCTCCATCTCTGACAATGCCTATCAGTTCATGCTGACTGGTGAGTGCTTGATTTCCTTTGAACTGCTCTTGAGATGAGCTATCTCTAGAGGGAAATGTAGGGTATTCTCTGGAAATATGGTGCAACACTGAAAATACAGTGTGTGTGAAATTAATGGAAGATTAATGCACTTAACTGTAATGGTCTGTGTGAACTGAGTGTCTGTGTTCCTATTAGGATTAATAAAGACCTGGACCTAATGAAAATAATCTAGAAGGAGTAAATTCACTGGAAAGAATACACCTATTTTCTGGTGTAGACTTTACTGACTCTAATGGGATCTTACATATATGCATAGATTTATGTATCTTAATCACTAAACTATTCTCTGCTGGAGAGTACAGAGTACAAAAATATCACATATAGCCTATAAAAGATGTGTATACAGTCAATTCAAATTTGCAAGCATCAGTGCTAACAAGTAAGACAGAGTATCTCTACGTTGAACAGGTTGATTATTATGCAAATGGAATTTATGATGGACCAAGTGGTCTAAAGTACATACAGCCTTTAATGATCTAAGTAACCTCTACACTGATCTATGCAACTGTAAATCAATTGCACCTTATAGTGAAAAGTAAATATCAGAAAACTATGCCAAGGAAAAAAATAAAGCTTTTAGCATTTAAGTTGAATTGCTTTAAAAAAATTCTTTCTGCTTTCTTTTCTTCTTTCCACCTCTTATTTTCTCTTCCCTATGTGTGCATTGAAATCAAAGATGTGCAAGATTTTAGATCTTCTTTTCCTGTTATTTTGTTACAAACTGGGAGATAGTTGAAGAATAGAAAAATGAAAAAATAACCTTGCCTATGTATGATCTCAGGAATACATGATTTCTGTATATATAGGGGTTAAAAAAAAAAAGATGAAAAATAGTGAAAGAGGTTGGTCAGTCATTTCTGTTGCCTGTGACACCTCCAAATTTCTGTAAGATTACTCAGGAAAATTTTAGCTTCAGAAGAATTTACATGCTGTCAAAGCCCGACCTCAATATTTTCATTACATGTACTTACGTAATAAGAGAAAAATACGTAGCCTGATGAGAAGACAGTATCTTGAAAGGCATAAGACTACAAAAACTACTCTGAAATGATGTCTTTACTGAGCCAGTAGATAATACCTGAAGTATTCCTGGGACCATCAAAAGTACCTGCTAGAATTCCTGGGGTTTTTCACTGTCTTCTGTCCCTGCATCCTCTGGAAGTTTCAGTTCATATTTTTCTCCTAGTTTTTGAGTTCTTTGTTATTCATGAGCACTAGGAAAATCTTTCTTATCTCTGTCTTTTCACAGATCGCGAGAACCAGTCGATCCTGATCACGTACGTACACTCCCGGCTCGGGTCCCCGCTGGGCTGCCCCATGCCAGGGGACCTTCTGCCTGACCACAGGCTCTCTGCTTCTGTCTTTGGTTTGACAGCGGAGAATCTGGTGCAGGGAAAACTGTGAACACAAAGCGTGTCATCCAGTAC